ACCTTATGGAATCGAAGATAGGAGTATGGTGTAACAAAAGAACCACACAAACCTGGTACAATGTAAAGCTTTTGCAGTAAGTGATTAACTTTTCAAGTTCCACAAAACCCAAAAAGTTAATAAATCACACTAACCCGCTGCAGTCTTTCATTGATGACAAAGGAGAGAAAACTGCCAACATCCTGTGTCCGTTCAACAAGCACAGCATACATTGAAAACCGTGGCAACTGTCTAGTTAGTTCAAACACATGATAGTGCTGGCTTCCTTCATATCCAACCAATGCCTAAAATAAAACATAAGGACATCCTATATATTGCAGTCATATTACAGAAACAGGAGATAGGTACATGTTCATAAAAATTATCCTAATACAAAGCTGCTTTTTTGAAAATTCAAATAGTGGCAGTCCACTAAAATATTACTTTAAGTGAAAACATAATTAATTCTGTGCTGCATATTTTGGATTCACAGAATTTTCTCTGTTCACTTAACATAACATAACATTAACATGTGTAACCCGTGCTGTCAAATCTGACATGAGAATAATCTTTATACCTTAATGTGAATATCAACTGGAACATCTCTGGGTGGATACAGAGCCACATCCAATCTTGATGTCACTTCTGACTCTTTTGGATGAAGCACATGAGTTTCACCTTCAAAAATTCCTTCTGCAAATACCATAACTGCACAAATGACAGTCTCATTATTTGTAGACAAGGAAATCTCAACATGTGGCTGTAAGAGAAAGAAAAATATATCAAGAAATTATCAAGATGGCTGTATTTTGGATTGTTACACCATGTAGTCTTGCAGACGTTTACCGTAATTTCATAGGTGGACAGTGACTGACTTTGTAATCCTAAACATCCTGAAGGTCCCTTTGTATGAGAAACAGCACGAAATCCATAATAAAAGCTACCACCTCAACCATAACTACTACAGTTTTCTTACATAAGAAAATGTTGTGATATAGCAACACATGCAAGTTAAACAGTCGGTACATACGGGTTTGTCTTCAGTACCCATGTTGACAGCAATTCCAGTCTGTAATCTTGTTTGGGCCTGAGAAATATGCAAGAGAAGAGTACACATTAATTCTCAAGCAGTATCACAAAAGGGGTTGAAAAGAACTGAAATGGAAACAGGATGCTACCATGTCTCTTCAGTGTTATATTCTGGATGAAAAATATAACACTCTAAAG